CTAATAAAGCATTATCTAGTCTATCAACAAAGGCAAGGCTAGTTTTCTACCAAATTCATGCGATATAAAGGAGTAGTTGGCTCCAGAATCAAATAAAATTTGGGCAGGCAAATTGTTAACGAGAAAGGTACCTGAAGCGACATCAGCTTCATCTTTAGCAGCTTCCAGTGTCATCTGGAATGCTCTCGCCTTTGGCTTTGGCGGAATGTTGGGTCTAGCTGCCTCCTTCTTCTTCGGGCAGTCCCTCGACATGTGTCCCTCCTCACCACAACCATAACAAACTTTCTTAGTGAGGGTACATTCATTGGCATAGTGACCTGGCTTTCCACACTTGTAGCATGTGGTCACTACCTCACATTTCCATGATGCTTCTTCTTACATTTGTCGCACCATTTCGCTTCGCCTCCACTTCCCCTCGAACCAGACTTCGAGAACTTGTTTTTCTTATTGGACCCTGAAGTTCCATCGAACTTCCTCTTTTCACCAACTTCTATCCTTTCCAGACCCTTTTCCTTCTGCTGGGCCTCCACATTCTTAGCTGCACGAACAGCCGTTTTCAGAGTAGTTGCCATCTTGACTGTCGGACCAAAGTCGCAGGCAGTCCATTAGCAAACCTCTCAATCTTGGAGAGTTCCGTTGGCACTAGGTACGGAAATAATTTCATTTTCTCAGTGAATGCCATAGCATAGTCGTCTACGCTCATCCTCCCCTTCTTCAAGTTTTGGAACTCATTGTTCAGATCAATCAGATCTATCTCTGAACAATATTGCACCCTTAACTGTTCCAAGAACTCCTCCCATGACATTTTCAGGGCTTTCCCTTGTGCATAGTATCTGCCAACAACTTCCACCAACTTAATACTCCAGTCTTCAGTTGTCTGACTGCAAAGACAGTCTTCTGTTTGTTGCTACAGTCGCAACTTTCAAATACCATCTCCATTTCGGAGATCCAATCCATTATTTCAACAGGCTTTGGGCTCCCAGAAAGACTTGGCGGTTTGGCGCCCAAGAAATTCTTGTACATTCGCCCATCGTTGTTGTTTCTCCTCTGGATTGTTCCTTCGTTCTTCTTGAGTCCCAACTTGACTCAAATGCGACTATTGTTCCCTTCCTCCGATTGCTCGGGAATCAATTCAGGTTCCTCAATAGGTATGATAGGTTCGTCCCTATTATTATGCAACATTTGTCGCATCTCCTCCCTTTGTTCGGCTAACATAGCCCGAATCATGGCTTGCACTCCAGCCATGGTGATCTGTTCTGGTGCTGCTGCTACAACAGGTATTTGCTCAATCACTGGCGGTTGATTCCTGTTTTCATCCGCGTTTCCAACGCCACTCCTTGTTCTCACCATTTTTGATCTACACACCGAATAAGGTGAAATTTAGATCTTCGATCATGATAGATTTCAAATCATCCTTATCACTCCGAAACGATTACATGCTAGTTCTAATATCGTATACATACGCTTAGAATCCTAAACACATAAACCTTCAGATCCGGTTGGCAACAAACCGTAGATCCGAACAAATAATATCATATATGGCAACATATAACATTTAGCACATAAAAGCATTTTAGGCAACGTTCCTAAAATAAACTAGTGCTTGTGTCTAAAATCCAACAGACACACATCTCAAATTCCACTTAGCATTCTAAGTTTAAGTTTAGAAATCCTACAAATTCCTAGTTCGCTTAAACTAATGCTCTGATACCAACTGTGACATCCCCAAAATCACGGCCAGAAAAGACCGATTTCATTTATGCTTTTAAAATAAATTCAGAGTAAATCCTTTTGATTTGAAAGAGTTGCGGAATTTGTTCCCAAAACAAAACATGATAAAATAATATTTATCAAAGCATTTCATCAAGAGATGCATTTTCATTATATAATTAAAACTCGGGGTGTCATGTTCCGATACAGACCATTAAGCATAAACAATAACATTACAAGTCATTCAACAAATATATACATATACAGACTTGTAAACAAAACAACTTGATGGTTCGTCCATCTTACGCCCTTGCGCCACTTCCTGTAATACAAATAAAACTGAGTGGGTCAGGCTTGGGAGCCTGGTGAGCATATAGGGTTTTCAACCCACAATAAATAAATTATATTTAATTTCACCAACCAATCACTATCCCGATTACCCATTCCCGTTATCCTCACTTTACGTCCCTAAAACAACATCTATCTCAAGGGACCTAATCTAGGATTTTCATCGGGACGGACATTACTGCTAAGGGGTTTCCTCAACAATAGATATCCTAAAGGCAACCATGAGGGGGATAGAGTACACCGGTGAACACATCGTTCACAACACCTACAGGTTATGAACCTGCTAGCGTTCCACGAGACTGTCTAGAAGGAGTCTGTGGTCGTTATCCATACTCCGCTGAATAACTAGGTCAACAACAACAACATCGAGGCCTCTCATCTGTTTATTACACACCAACTATCTACCCATGTTCTACCCAACATATTAGTAGATAAAAATATACATTTTTATACATAGTTTAAAACCTGTATAGCATTTTCATTCAATATATATTCCACATAACAGATGAGGCATACCCACATAACACGTATTTCATACAAAACAAATCGGATCTATGAGATTAAAGAGAGTGAATATACATTCACGTACAATACAACAAAACTATACACATAACACGTATTTCATATAAAATACTATATAATTATGCGTTAGAAGAAAGTAACTACACACTCACTTGATCAGAAGATGATCGGACAGCACTACGGCTTGCAGAAATAGAAATCCTCAGCAGATCTGGAAGATGTCTACAAAAATCGAACTTCTCGCGGGCAGAGCTTCGGCTCGGAAACCGCACTTCTCGGGATCTTCGGGATCTCAGGACTTGCTTCGGAACTGGGGAATATTACCGGGGCTTCGGGGGTAAAAACGTAGAGCTTCGGCACAAAAACGAGAGGAAATTAGCAAATAAACTCGGAACCTTCGCATCCTATTTATAGGAGGCTGGAGCCTCGGAGTACGCGGGGCATACTGCTCCGAAATCGTAAGCCCATGCGTCATCCGAAGTCCTCGAGTGCGAATGTCGACATCTTCGCTGTACGCGGGGCGTAGTCGAGTATGCTGGGCGTACTTCGGATCGAATTGCTGACTCCCCTTCGGAT